TAAATGGAACTCATAAAACACATAGAGTTGGGGGCCGAACATCCTATTTGGAGGGCACGAACTCCATTAGCCGAAAACGTTGAGGGGGTATAAAATATCATGCTGAGCACCTACTCGCCAAAGGCGCAGCGGAAAAGCCAGGTTTTGAGGTTCTTTTTAAATGTTTCCTAATCTCCCCAGGTAAAACATCCGGGCGTCCCCTGGGTAACTTCCTTGCAGACGACCAATTTTCTCACACCAAGTCGCTTCTGACACAAAGAAAAAAAACCCAACCGGATTGCTTTAAAGTGACTTCCAACCAGAGGCGTCTCAAGAGCACCCCTCAGGGATTTGCGCTATACGCAAATGCGTATCTTGCCTATTGCTTCAGCCGCCCCGAACCCAGGCAACTATCCACTTGCATTGTGAGACTCTAGATCAGATATGGAGTTGCAGTAATGGAAGTGTAGAGCCCTCTCAAGGTTCTGTCCTTGGCCACATCCACTGGAGAACAGGAAACACACAACTGAAGAAAGAGGGATGGAAAGCCCAACAAAGCCAAAGCGTAGGAGAAGCTTTAACAGAATTCGGAGGGGAGAAAGGACAGGGACGGGAGTGATCAATTTTGTCATTTGGGAGTTGTAGTTGCTGGGATTTATAGTTCACCTACAATCGAAGAGCATTCTGAACTCCACTAATGATGGAATCGAATCAAACTTGGCACACAGAACTCCTCTGACGAACAGAAAATACTGAAAGGGCTTGGTGGGCATTAATCTTGAGTTTGGGAGTTGTAGTTCACCTAGATCTAGCGAGTACTGTGGACTCAGCCGATGATGGATCCGGATCAAACTTGGCACGAATACTCAACATTCCCAAATGTTGATGAATCGAACCAAACTTGACACACAAAACTCCCCTGGGCAACAGAAAATACTGGAAGGGTTTGGTGGGCACTGACCTTGGGTTTTGGAGTTGTAGTTCACCTACCTCCAGAGAGCACTGTGATGGATATGGACTAAACTTGGCACAAATACTCAATATGCCCAAATGTGAACACGGAATTTGTGGAAAATAGACCTTGACACATGGGAGTTTTAGTTGCTGGGATTTAAAGTTCACATCCTCGTGACCCTCCCCTGAGCTCCCAACCCCCAGGTTGAGAAACGCTAATTTACAGACTTTTGAATAGGTGAGCAGGATTGTATGACATCTGCACACCATCCACACACATATTGCTGGGATTTATAGTTCGCGATTTATAGTTCGCTTACAATCAAAGAGCATTTTGAACCCAGCTCATAATGGATCTGCACCAAACTTGGCACATGGCCTAAATGGCCAACATTGAATACTAGTGGGGTTGGAGGGGGGGCTGTTTCCCAATTATGGGAGTTGTAGTTCACCAACACCAAAAAGGAAGAGAAGGACAGGTGGAGAGATCTTCAGCCTTCTCTGCCAAAGGGGTTCCTAAAACCATCAGGAATATGTGTTTTCTGGTGGTCTTTGGCGACCCCTCTGAACCCACCGCCCCACCCCAAATTCAAGGTCAATGCCCACCAAAGCCTTCCAGTATTTTCAGTTAGTCATGGGAGTCCTGTGTGCCAAGTTTGGTCCAATTTCATCATTGGTGGGGTACAGAATAGGGGACGCATGGCTCGAGAGCAGTACATAGACCACACCTGGAATATTGTGTCCAATTCTGGGCACCACAATTCAAGAGAGATATTGACAAGCTGGAATGTGTCCAGAGGAGGGTGACTAAAATGGCCACAGTGGTCCACGCTCTTGTTACATCCCGAATAGACTACTGCAACGCACTCTACGTGGGGTTGCCCTTGAAGACTGTTCGGAAACTCCAACTGGTCCAGCAAGCAGCAGCCAGATTGCTTACCGGAGCGACATACAGGGAGCACACCACCACCCTGCTGTGTCAGCTCCACTGGCTGCCGGTTCAGTTCCGAGCACAATTCAATGTGCTGGTTTTGACCTACAAAACCCTTTACGGTTCCGGTCCAGTGTATCTGTCCGAACGTATCTCCCTCTACGTCCCACCTTGGAATTTGAGATCATCTGGGGAGGCCCTGCTCTCGACCCCACCACTAACACAAGCGAGACTGGTGGGGAATGAGGAGCAAGGCCTTCTCAGTGGTGACCCCTCACCTGTGGAACTTGCTTCCGGGGGAAATTAGGGCATCAACATCCCTCCTCTCCTTCAGGAGGAAGGTGAAGACGTGGTTGTGGGACCAGGCCTTTGGGCAATCTGACAACTAGATATGGATAACCAGATGGATAGGACCGAAAGGATTGATAAGTGCGGAATTGGAATTGATGTACGAGATTGTGAAGCGCTGACAGTCAATGAGGAAAATGGTTTGTATTGGTTTTATTGCTTTTATTGGTTTTATGGWTGTATTTGCCTTATAATAATTACTGTTTCCTGTTAATTGATGTTATTGTTAAAGCTGCTGTTTTGTTAACTGATGTTATTGTCTTACTGTTGTTATGTACTGCGGGCATCGAATTGTGCCTCGCTTTTGTAAGCCGCCCTGAGTCGTCGTCGTCCCCCCCCCGTCCCCCCCGGGGTGAGAAGGGCGGGGTAGAAGCAACCGAAATAAATAAATAAAATAATGATCAAGGGTCTGTAGAACAAGCCCTATGAGGAGTGGCTTGAAGAGCTGGGCATGTTTAGCCTGAATTAGAGAAGGCTGAGAGGAGACATGATAGCCGTGTATAAGTATGTGAGAGGAAGTCATAGGGAAGAGGGAGCAAACTTGTTTTCTGCTGCCCTAGAGACTAGGACAAGGAACAATGGCTTCAAACTTCAAACTATAAGAAAAGAGATTCCATCTGAACATGAGGAAGAACTTCCTGACTGTGAGAGCCGTTCAGCAGTGGAACTCTCTGCCCTGGAGTGTGGTGGAGGCTCCTTCTTTGGAAGCTTTTAAACAGAGGCTGGATGGCCATCTGTCAGGGGTACTTTGAATGCAATATTCCTGCTTCTTGGCAGAATGGGGTTGGACTGGATGGCCCTTGAGGTCTCTTCCAACTCTGTGATTATACGATTCCATGATTCTCCTTCGCCCAGCTCTCACTCCGTGGCCAGCAGAGGGCAAGGTGAGCCCAGTTCAGGCCTTTGAGGGCCATTGGTATCATGAGCCTATTGGCCTCATGTTCTACCCGGAGAGATCCCTTGTTGCCAAACTCTTTGTTCCACAACTCCCAACCTTGTTTTTGAAAACATCATCCAAGGCAGTGTTTCTCAACCTTCCTAATGCCGCGACCCCTTCATACAGTTCCTCATGTTGTGCTGACCCCCAACCATAACATTATTTTCGTTGCTACTTCCATAACTATAATGTTGTTATTGTTATGAATCATAATGTAAATATCTGATATGCAAAATGTATTTTCATTCACTGGACAAAATTTGGCACAAATACCCGATACGCCCAAATCTGAATACTTGTGGGGTTGGGTATGGATTGATTTTGCATTTGGGAGTTGTAGTTGCTGGGATTTATAGTTCACCTACAATCAAAGAGCACTCTGAACTCCACCAATGATGGAATTGAACCAAACTTGGCACACAGAACTCCCATGATCAACAGAAAATACTGGAAGGGTTGATGGGCATTGCCTCCATCTTGCCCTTGAGTTTTGAAGTTGTAGTTCACCTACCTCCAAAGAGCACTGTGGACTCAAAACAATGATTGATCTGGACCAAAACTTGGTATGGATACTCAATATGCCCAAATGTGAACACTGGTGGAGTTTGGGGAAAATAGATCTTGTCATTTGGGGGTTGTAGTTGCTGGGATTTATAGTTCACCAACAAAAGAATTGCTGGGATTTATAGTTCACCTACAATCAAAGAGCATTCTGAACCCCAACAACAAAAGAATTGCTGGGATTTATAGTTCACCTACAATCAAAGAGCATTCTGAACCCCAACAACAAAAGAATTGCTGGGATTTATAGTTCACCTACAATCAAAGAGGATTCTGAACCCCACCAACAAAAGAATTGCTGGGAATTATAGTTCACCTACAATCAAAGAGCATTCTGGACCCCACCAACAAAAGAATTACTGGGATTTATAGTTCACCTACAATCAAAGAGCATTCTGAACCCCACCAACAAAAGAATTGCTGGGATTTATAGTTCACCTACAATCAAAGAGCATTCTGAACCCCACCAACAAAAGAATTACTGGGATTTATAGTTCACCTACAATCAAAGAGCCTTCTGAACCCCAACAACAAAAGAATTGCTGGGATTTATAGTTCACCTACAATCAAAGAGTATTCTGAAGCCACCAACAAAAAAAATACTGGGATTTATAGTTCACCTACCATCAAAGAGCATTCTGAACTCTACCAACAATGGAATTGAACCACATAACTCCCATGACCAAGAGAAAATACTGCAAGGGTTTGGTGGGCATTGACTGAGTTTTAGAGTTGTAGTTCACCTACATCCACTGTGAACCCAGGGCCCTTCCACGCCGCCCTATATCCCAGAATATCAAGGCAGAAAATCCCACATTATCTGAGTGTGGACTCAGATAACCCAGTTCAAAGCAGATAGTGTGGGATTTTCCTCAAACAATAATATATCTGGACCAAACTGGGCACGGATACTCAATATGCCCAAATGTGAACACTGATGGAGTTTGGGGAAAATAGACCTTGGCATTTGGGAGTTGGAGTTGCTGGGATTTATAGTTCATCTACAATCAGAGAGCATTCTGAATCCCTCCCAACGATACAATTCGGCTAAATTTCCCACATAGAACTCCCATGACCAACAAAAAAGACTGTGTTTTCTGATGATCTTTGGTGATGACCCCCCAGGGGTCTCGACCCCCAGGTTGAGAAATTGTGATCTAAGACCTCTAAACCCACACATACATTGGTTCACATCCTTCCATCACCTCAAGCACAATAAAAAAAAACCCCACTACTCCAAACTCTTCATGCACGCACAGTATCACAGCCCCGCAGCCCCGCTTGGCTTACCGTGGGAGTGCTCTTCCTCGCTGCTGTCATCTTCCGAGTTCTGGTTGCCACCACCGTTGGTAGTTGACTTGGCCCGGCTTCTGGACAGGATCCCCGATTTTTCCATCACGGAAGGCATCTTCCAAGTCCCAGAAGGCCCCTTTTCTAAAGAAGCTGAAATGCTGAGGTGGTCTCTTCGTACACATACGAACCTCAGCCACGCTCTTTCCCCACCTTTCTGCCCCTACCTAGAACCTGAAAGTACCAAATGGAGGAGGAAATCAATGGCAGTGGTGGGAAGGGGAAGGTGTCAACAAACAGCCAGGTGATAACAGTTGAGGTTCTCCTTTCCCATTCTGACACTTGCAAAGTTAGTATAAACTTCTTTGAAATGAGTATTTGGGGGATGAAGTTGTGTAGGAGATGCACTAAAGGAGAAGGAGGAGGTTCTAACCACCTGGAAGGAAAGGAGAAGGTGACTTCTCCAATGAGCCAGGTCTCCTGACGATGTAGGAGATGAACAAAATGAGGAGGAGAAGGTTATTTCTCAAGGAGAAGGTTCTTACTAAAGGAAAGGAGATGGTACTTTCTCCAAAGAGCCAGGTCTCCTGACCATGTAGGAGATGCACTAAAGGAGGAGAAGGTACGTACTAAAGGAGAAGGTTCTTTCCAAAGGAAAGGAGAAGGTAACTTCTCCAGTGAGCCAGGTCTCCTGACCATGTTGGAGATGCACTAAAGGAGAAGAAAAGGGCTCTTACCACCTAGAAGGAAAGGAGAAGGTAACTTCTCCAATGAGCCATATAGGAGATGCACTAAAGGAGGACAAAAGGTCTCTTACCACCTGGAAGGAAAGGAGAAGGTGACTTCTCCAATGAACCAGGTCTCCTGACCATGTAAGAGATGCACTAAAGGAGGAGGAGGTTCTTTCTCAAGGAGAAGGTTCTTACTAAAGAAAAGGAGAAGATAACTTCTCCAATGAGCCAGGTCTCCTGACCATGTAGGAGATGCACTAAAGGTGGAGGAAAGGGTTCTTACCACCTGGAAGAAGGTAACTTCTCCAATGAACCAGGTCTCCTGACCATGTAGGAGATGCACTAAAGGAGGAGGAGAAGGTTCTCTTACTACCTGGAAGGAAAGGAGAAGGTAACTTCTCCAATGAGCCAGATCTCCTGACCATGTAGGAGATGCACTAAAGGTGGAGGAAAGGGTTCTTACCAGCTGGAAGGAGGTAACTTCTCCAGTGAGCCAGGTCTCCTGACCATGTTGGAGATGCACTAAAGGAGGAGGAGAAGGTTCTTACCACCTGGAAGGAAAGGAGAAGTTGACTTCTCCAATGAGCCAGGTCTCCTGACCACATAGGAGATGCAGTAAAGGAGGAGGAGAAGGTTCTTACTAAAGAAAAGGAGAAGATAACTTCTCCAATGAGCCAGGTTTCCTGACCATGTTGGAGATGCACTAAAGGAGGAGGAAGAGGAAGAGGAAGAGGAGGAGGAGGAGGAGGAGAAGGTTCTTACCACCTGGAAGAAAAGGAGAAGATAACTTCTCCAGTGAGCCAGGTCTCCTGACCATGTTGGAGATGCACTAAAGAAGAAGGAGAAGGTTCTTACCACCTGGAAGGAAAGGAGGAGGAAGAGGGAGGACTCATCAAGGTAACTTCTCCAATGAGCCAAATCTCCTGACCATGTTGGAGATGCACTAAAGGAAGAGGAGAGGCCTCTTACCACCTGGAAGGAAAGGAGGAGGAAGAGGGAGGATTCATCAAGGTAACTTTTCCAATGAGCCAGGTCTCCTGACCATGTAGGAGCTGCACTAAAGAAGAAGGAGAAGGTTCTTACCACCTGGAAGGAAAGGAGGAGGAAGAGGGAGGACTCATCAAGGTAACTTCTCCAATGAGCCAAATCTCCTGACCATGTTGGAGATGCACTAAAGGAAGAGGAGAGGCCTCTTACCACCTGGAAGGAAAGGAGGAGGAAGAGGGAGGATTCATCAAGGTAACTTTTCCAATGAGCCAGGTCTCCTGACCATGTAGGAGCTGCACTAAAGGAGAAGGTTCCTACTAAAGAAAAGGAGAAGGCAAGTTCCCAACGAGCCAGGTCTCCTGACCATGTAAGAGATGCACTAAAGGTGGAGGAAGGGCTCTTACCACCTGGAAGGAAAGGAGGAGGAAGAGGGAGGACTCATCAAGGTAACTTCTCCAATGAGCCTGGTTTCCTGACCATGTAGGAGATGAACTGGAGGAGGAGAAGGTTCTTTCTCAAGGTAAAGGTTCTTACTAAAGCATCGGAGAAGGTAACTTCTCCAATGAGCCAGGTCTCCTGACCATGTTGGAGATGCACTAAAGGAGGAGAAGGAGAAGGTTCTTACCACCTGGAAGGAATGGAGAAGGTGACTTCTCCAATGAGCCAGGTCTCCTGGTCATGTAGGAGATGCACTAAATGAGGAGGAGAAGGTTCTTACTAAAGAAAAGGTAACTTCTTCAATGAGCCAGGTCTCCTGATCATGTAGGAGATGCACTAAAGGAGGAGGAGGTTCTTACCACCTGGAAGGCATGGAGAAGGTGACTTCTCCAATGAGCCAGGTCTCCTGACCATGTTGGAGATGCACTAAAGGAGGAGGAGGAGAAGGTTCTTACCACCTGGAAGGAAAGGAGGAAGAAGAGGGAGGACTCATCAAGGTAACTTTTCCAATGAACCAGGTCTCCTGACCATGTAGGAGATGAACTAGAGGAGGAGGAGGAGGAGGCTCTCACTAAAGGAGAAGGTTCTCACTAAAGGAAAGGAGAAGGTAACTTCTTTAATGAGCCAGTTCTCCTGACCATGTTGGAGATGCACTAAAGGAGGAGGAGGGGGGAGGTTCTCACTAAAGGAGAAGGTTCTCACGAAAGGAAAGGAGAAGGTAACTTCTCCAATGAGCCAGGTCTCCTGACCATGTAGAAGATGCACTAAAGGAGGAGGAGGAGGAGGAGGTTCTTACCACCTGGAAGGAAAGGAGGAGGAAGAGGGAGGACTCATCAAGGTAACTTCTCCAATGAACCAGGTCTCCTGACCATGTAGGAGATGCACTAAAGGAGGAGGAGAAGGTTCTTACTCAAAGAGAAGGTTCTTACTAAAGAAAAGGAGACGATAACTTCTCCAGTGAGCCAGGTCTCCTAACCACATAGGAGATGCACTAAAGGAGGAGGAGAAGGTTCTTACTCAAAGTGAAGGTTCTTACTAAAGAAAATGAGAAGATAACTTCTCCAGTGAGCCTGGTCACATCTCCTGGTCAACATGGTCAGGTCTCCTGACCATGTTGGAGATGCACTAAAGGAGGAGGAGGAGGAGGAGGTTCTCACTAAAGGAGAAGGTTCTCACTAAAGGAAAGGAGAAGGTAACTTCTTCAATGAGCCTGACCATGTTGGAGATGCACTAAAGGAGGAGGAGAAGAAGGTTCTTACCACCTGGAAGGAGTGAAGGAGGAAGAGGGAGGACTCCTAAAGGTAACTTCTCCAATAAGCCAGGTCTCCTGACCATGTTGGAGATGCACTAAAGAAAGAGGAAAGGGCTCTTACCACCTGGAAGGAAAGGAGAAGGTTTCCTGGAGATCTACCAAAGGAGGAGGAGAAGGTTCTTAGTAAATAAGAAGGTTCTCACTAAAGAAAAGGAGATGATAACTTCTCCAATGAGCCAGATCTCCTGACCAGGTTGGAGATGCACTAAAGGAGGAGGAGGAGGAGAAGGTTCTTACCACCTGGAAGGAGTGAAGGAGGAAGAGGGAGGACTCCTAAAGGTAACTTCTCCAGTGAGCCAAGTCTCCTGATGTCTCCCTTCTGCAAAGAGAAAGGAGAGCACAACACCATCCAATCCTAAGGAGAGTTCAAAGAGGAGCCTTCCAAAGTCGGTGGTCCTCTTCTCTTCTTCGGCGATGGAGTTAACTTGTGTCCGCTTCTTCCAGATGGGCAGTGTTCTCCCTCTTCCCAAAAGAGAAGGAGCAGGGTAGGAGAGCCAGGCAGGCGTGCCAGGCGGTCAAAGGAAAAGTTGCATGAGGAGGATTGTGTGCTGCTGCTGCTGCTCTTGCTGCCTCCTCCTCAGTCTCTTCTTGCTGCCACCGCCTCCTTCTCCTCCTCCATCTCTTTCTCTGCCTCTCTCTCGCACACAATGAGCCTGTGGCTGCTCTTGCTCCTGCTCCTGCTGCTGCTCCTGCTGCTGCTGTGAGAAAGTAGTTCCAGCCCTCGGCCTCAGCACCTCCCCTCAGAGCCTTCCGCCAACTCCACATCTGGCCAGAGGAGGCACCAGGGCAAGGGAGAGGGGCGGGCACAGGCCAGATGTGCTGGGCAGCCAGGGAGAGGTCAGAGGGCACCACAGACCCCTCTGGAAGCAAGTCAAGGCGGAAAAGCATGCTCCTCCCTTGCGCAGAGTCAGGATGGAGCCAGCCAGAGAGAGGCTGAGATCCAATTCCCAGGCACATGTAGGAAGGAAGGAAGGAAGGAAGGAAGGAAGGAAGGAAGGAAGGAAGGAAGGAAGGAAGGAAGGAAGGAAGGAAGGAAGGAAGGAAGGAAGGAAGGAAGGAAGGAAGCTCTCTCTTTCCTCTTCCTCTCATCCTCTTCCTCTCATTTTTGGAGTTTGGGAAGGAAGCACCGTCCTGGTGACATGTGTCTCCCTCTCCCAACCAATGTCAGCACGGCGTCCTTTTGTTGCACAGAGTCTTCATTGTTGGGGACCGGGAAAGCCGCTCCACGGTGAAGCAAAACAAGCCCTTTGCTGAACCACTTTGGTTGTTGTTGTTCATTCATTCAGTCGCTTCCGACTCTTCGTGACCTCCTGGACCATAACTCCCTGTTGACCGTGGCCACCCCCAGCTCCTTCATGGTCAAGTCAGTCCCATCTGTCAAGGATTGTTGTTGTTTATTCGTTCAGTGGCTTTCGACTCTTCGTGACCTCCTGGATCATCCCAGGCCAGAGCTCACTGTTGACCGTGGCCACCCCCAGCTCCTTCATAGTCAAGTCAGTCCTATACGTCAAGGATTGTTGTTGTTTATTCCTTCAGTGGCTTCCGACTCTTCGTGACCTCCTGGATCATCCCAGGCCAGAGCTCCCTGTTGACCGTGGCCACCCCCAGCTCCTTCATAGTCAAGTCAGTCCCATCTGTCAAGGATTGTTGTTGTTTATTCGTTCAGTGGCTTCCGACTCTTTGTGACCTCCTGGATCATCCCAGGCCAGAGCTTCCTGTTGACCGTGGCCACCCCCAGCTCCTTCATGGTCAAGTCAGTCCCATCTGTCAAGGATTGTTGTTGTTTATTCGTTCAGTGGCTTTCGACTCTTCGTGACCTCCTGGATCATCCCAGGCCAGAGCTCACTGTTGACCGTGGCCACCCCCAGCTCCTTCATAGTCAAGTCAGTCCCATCTGTCAAGGATTGTTGTTGTTCATTTGTTCAATGGCTTCCGACTCTTTGTGACCTAATAGACCATCCCAAGCCAGAGCTCCCTGTTGACCGTGGCCACCCCCCAGCTCCTTCAAGGTCAAGCCAGTCCCATCTGTCAAGGATTGTTGTTGTTTATTTGTTCAGTGGCTTCCAACTCTTTGTGACCTCATGGACCATCCCAGGCCAGAGCTCACTGTTGGCCATGGCCACCCCCAGCTCCTTCATAGTCAAGTCAGTCCTATACGTCAAGGATTGTTGTTGTTTATTCGTTCAGTGGCTTCCGACTCTTTGTGACCTCCTGGACCAACCCAAGCCAGAGCTCCCTGTTGACCATCCCAAACCAGAGCTCCCTGTTCACAGTGGCCACCCTCAGCTCCTTCATAGTCAAGTCAGTCCCATCTGTCAAGGATTGTTATCGTTTATTCGTTCATTGGCTTCCGACTCTTCGTGACCTCCTGGAACATTCCAAGCCAGAGCTCCCTGTTGACCGTGGCCACCCCCAGCTCCTTCATGGTCAAGTCAGTCCTATACGTCAAGGATTGTTGTTGTTTATTCCTTCATGGCTTCCGACTCTTCGTGACCTAATGGACCATCCCAAGCCAGAGCTCCCTGTTGACCGTGGCCACCCCCAGCTCCTTCATGGTCAAGTCAGTCCTATACGTCAAGGATTGTTGTTGTTTATTCCTTCAGTGGCTTCCGACTATTCGTGATCTCATGGACCATCCCAGGCCAGAGCTCTCTGTTGACTGTGGCCACCCCAAGCTCCTTCATGGTCAAGTCAGTCCCATCTGTCAAGGATTGTTATCGTTTATTCGTTCATTGGCTTCCGACTCTTCGTGACCTCCTGGAACATTCCAAGCCAGAGCTCCCTGTTGACCGTGGCCACCCCCAGCTCCTTCATGGTCAAGTCAGTCCTATACGTCAAGGATTGTTGTTGTTTATTCGTTCCATGGCTTCCGACTCTTCGTGACCTAATGGACCATCCCAAGCCAGAGCTCCCTGTTGACCGTGGCCACCCCCAGCTCCTTCATGGTCAAGTCAGTCCTATACGTCAAGGATTGTTGTTGTTTATTCCTTCAGTGGCTTCCGACTATTCGTGATCTCATGGACCATCCCAGGCCAGAGCTCTCTGTTGACTGTGGCCACCCCAAGCTCCTTCATGGTCAAGTCAGTCCCATCTGTCAAGGATTGTTATCGTTTATTCGTTCATTGGCTTCCGACTCTTTGTGACCTCCTGGATCATCCCAAGCCAGAGCTCCCTGTTGACCATCCCAAGCCAGAGCTCCCTGTTCACAGTGGCTACCCCCAGAGTCAAGTCAGTCCCATCTGTCAAGGATTGTTGTTGTTTATTCGTTCAGTGGCTTCCGACTCTTCGTGACCTCATGGACCATCCCGGGCCAGAGCTCCCTGTTGACCGTGGCCACCCCCAGCTCCTTCATAGTCAAGTCAGTCCCATCTGTCAAGGATTGTTGTTGTTTATTCCTTCAGTGGCTTCCGACTCTTTGTGACCTCCTGGACCATCCCAGGCCAGAGCTCCCTGTTGACCGTGGCCACCCTCAACTCCTTCAAGGTCAAGTCAGTCCCATCTGTCAAGGATTGTTGTTGTTTATTTGTTCAGTAGCTTCTGACTCTTCGTGACTTCCTGGATCATCCCAGGCCAGAGCTCCCTGTTGACCGTGGCCACCCCCAGCTCCTTCAAGGACAAGCCAGTCCCATCTGTCAAGGATTGTTGTTGTTTATTCCTTCAGTGGCTTCCCACTCTTCTTGATCTCATGGACCATCCCAGCCCAGAGCTCCCTGTTGACCGTGGCCACACCCAGCTCCTTCATGGTCAAGTCAGTCCTATCTGTCAAGGATTGTTGTTGTTTATTCGTTCAGTGGCTTCTGACTCTTCGTGACCTCATGGACAATCCCAGGCCAGAGCTTCCTGTTGACCGTGGCCACCCCCATGTCCTTCATGGTCAAGTCAGTCCCATCTGTCAAGGATTGTTGTTGTTTATTCCTTCAGTGGCTTCCGACTCTTTGTGACCTCCTGGATCATTCCAGGCCAGAGCTCCCTGTTGACCGCGGCCTCCCCCAGCTCCTTCAAGGTCAAGCCAGTCCCATCTGTCAAGGACTGTTGTTTATTCATTCAGTGGCTTCCAACTCTTCGTGACCTCATGGACCATCCCACGCTAGAGCTCCCTGTCAGCCGTGGCCACCCCCAGCTCCTTCAAGGTCAAACCAGTCCCTTCAAGGGGACCATCCCTCTATCTTGGCCTTGAGTTTTGGAGTTGTAGTTCACCTACATCCAGAGAACACTGTGGACTCAAACAATGATGGATCTGAACCAAACTTGGCACAAATACTCAATATGCCCAAAGATGTGAACACTGGTGGAATTTGGGGAAAATAGAGCTTGGCCTTAGGGAGTTGTAGCTGCTGGTATTTAAAGTTCACCTACAATCAAAGACATTTTGAACCCCACCAACAAAAGAAATGGGCCAAACTTCTTCTGAATGCGCACAGACGACGTTGTCATCAGCATACTGGAGTTCTATAACGGATTGTTGTAACCTTGGTTTTGGCTTTCAGTCTGCTGCTGTTATATTTACATAACGATTCATAACAGTAGCAAAATTCCAATTATGACGTAGCAATGAAAATAATGTAATGGCTGGGGATCACCACAACGTGAGGAACTGTATTAAGGGGTCACGGCATTAGGAACGTTGAGAACCATGTTGGTTGGATTCTAATTTATATTGCAATGTGTGTTCAAAGTGTGGCAAGAGGGTGGCAAGGCAAGCACAGACCAGCTTCATTGCTGGGTTGGGGAGTTCTCTTTCGGAGACCCTCCCACAGGGAAGAACAGCAGACCAAAGTTGCTCTTCTTTTCCGCCATGGCTCTCCCAGCTGCCGTGTTGCGCAGCTCCTCGCTCCCCTTCCTTTGTGCCTGCCGTGCTTGCTTTCTGGCGGATGGACTGCATCTCCCTCCAGTAGGATCAATCAGGCAGGAGCTGCTCCTTGTTCCTCCAGGCACATGGGGGTCGAGGAGGAGGAGGTGGAGGAGGAATATGAATAATTAAAACCAAGTGTCACAGCCGAGCCCGAAGGAGATGTGCCGGCCCCTGACCCGGGGCTCGGTTCCAGAGTAACTGCCCTCATTTGCAGAAAGGCCTGGGATAGCCAAATCTGACCCCTGCATTCCATTCCAGCTAATTGACCAGGAAACAAACAAGGCCCCAACCAGGGAGCGAGA